ACGCCCCACGGTCGTCATATCGGATCCCGGCCCCCGTTGGAGTGCTACAAGTACGTCGCCGAGAAACAGGCGGCTGCGAAACGGCAGGCGCGGGGTCGCGGCCGCCAGAGTATTAGCCATCAGAAACGGGTGAAGGGCAGCCGTCGTGCTTCCTCCTCTTAGATCCCCTGTCTCCTTTTCTATCGGGTCCACCGAGGGGTAGATGGGGGCGTGTAACCGTATACTAGGTTATTCTACCTTATCATGTTCAGCATAGCGCTTGGTGTTGTTTCTTTTCTGTCATTGTCTCGTATGTAAGATGTGGTGCGAATACCGAAAATCTCTTCTCGATGGGGTTCCCCCCTTTTGGATTTCTAGTTCAGAGCATCTAGATTTATATTTCCATCATTGCAAATGGTTGCTTTGGGTTTGTTCTGTTTGTTGTTTTAGGGTGTCGTGGTTGTTACGATGTTGCGTCGCCTTAGCCTGCTCAACTGTGGTTCATAAATATGTATCTCGGCGAACCGAGAACTCTCTACCAGCCTACTCACACGTCTAAGCAAGACAAGCTAAACAGTTTACCAGGGAACTTTTGTAGACGTAAAATCATCAACTGTATAATTCTTCTTTTCACATGCCATAATTGCTTCTGTTCCAAGATATCAATCCCTCCAACCGTCTGTCTAACCGGTCTAGAGGCAGGATGGGACGGACGGACCCCATTTTCCTTCCTTCATGCAACCAACCCACATCTAAGAGAATCTTCGTTGAATTTACTCAATGTTAGCGAAGTGGAAAGAAGGCTGCCCGGGGACGGCGTTCTCAGCGAAGAGGCCCTCCCTCTTCTCGCCACTCCCCAGCACCTCCCCGGTCTTGCCGCCCTCGTCGACGGCGATGATCTCGAGGGCCTTGGCGCCGGTGACGCGGGTGATGGCGCCGCGCATCTCCTGGAGGACGGCGAACTCGTCGAAGGGCAGCTTGCGCTCGAAGACGGTCTCGGGGGCTTCCCGGTTGACGACGAGGCGGCGCTTGAGGGTCTGGACGAAGGGCATGGCCTTCTTCATCTCGCCGAGCTTGCCGACCCGGGCGTTGAGCGCCTTGTCGTCGATGGCGAGGCCGTCGAAGGCCTCGCGCACCAGGTCGATGTACTTCTCCTGCCACTGCGGGTGCTTCTTGGCCGCGTAGATGGACAGCTTCTTGGGCTTGCGCGGGTCGAACGTCACCTGCTTGCCCTTGGAGAGCTTCTTGACGAACGCCGCCTCGGCCGAGGTGATGTTCGACGAGGTCGCGCGCGTGTAGGCCAGCGCGGCGGACAGCTCGGGCGAGACCTCGGGCACGCTGGGGAATTGCGCCTTGTGGATGGTTTCGGGCTGGGTGGCGAGGTTAGAATTTATTTTTTGAGGGAGAAAGGAGGATAGAGGAGGTTTGTGTTTGGGAGAGACGAACCTTCTTCAGGATCTCCAGCCAGACGTATTCGGCCCAGTGGGGAGCAATGATGGCAATCATCAGAGCCTGGAGCTCGATGTACCGAGCCACCATGTCGCGGTGCAGACCGACGCCGGAGGTCGAGGTGGCCTCACGGTAGTAGTCACGCGCACTGACGAAGTCGTACAGACCGGACTTCAAGGCGAGCTTGAAGTTGGTGCTGGATGATGTTAGTTAGCTACTCGCGGGTAATCGTTCGAATAGTGTAGGGGGTGCTTACTCCTGGTAGTGCTTCTTGGTCTCGCGGACCAGGCTGTTCAGCTCGTTGTCGAAGAGCTTGTCCCAGAAGGAATCGGCAGGGCCGGTGCGCAGGGTCTCATCCTTGATGGTCTCCTCCATCCAGTCCTTCAGAGTGTGAAGACGGAGAATGTTGCTGTTCGCAACGGTCTCCTCGAAGTTGGCATCCTCGATACCATCACCGGCATCGGCGAAGGCGATACGAGTAGCGTCGGCACCGAACTTCTCGACGGCATCCTTCAAGGTCAAGAAGTTACCGGTACTCTTACTCATCTTCTCACCGTTCAGGAGCAAGTGACCGTTGGCACGGACTCCCTTGGGCCAGTACTCGGGAGGGAAGAGGGCAACGTGGATGTACAGGAAGAAGGTCAAGTGGTTGGGAATGAGATCCTTTCCGGAGACACGGACATCCAAGGGGTACCAGTACTCGAACTCTCTGCGCAGCTGCAGCAGAGCCTCCTTGTTGATCCCGCTCTTGGAGATGAGCTCGTCGCTGAGCTCACGGCGGCAGAAGACGTAATCCCAGACCTCGTCGATCATCTGCTCTGCCTTGATGTTGAGGGAGCCGAGAGTCTTACCATAGCGGTCACCGTGCAGGAGGTGCGCGATGGTGTAGTAGGCCATGTAGACCGTAGAGTCACTCAAACTCTCGACCAGGAACTGCTGGTCCCAGGGCAGCTTCGAACCCAGACCGTACGTTCTGGCGCAAGCCCAGCGGTTGAGCCAGGAGAGGTTCTTCTCGAAGCCGTTCTTGGTCTCGTTGGAGTAGGTGTTCAGAGTGTTGACGACGTGGTCCAGGGTGTCCTGCTGCCACTTGGCGTCGTTCTCACCGTAATTCAGGAACCATTGGCCGAGATAGGCGACAACACAGTCATCTCCACTGCGGCTGACGACCTTGCCCATAGGGTCGGCGAAGGGGAAAGCATCGCCGCTGTCGTAGAGAGCCTTGCGGATCTTGTCCTTCACAGCGCTGACGGGCTGACCCTTGAACTCACCAACAAGCATGGTACCCTTGTAGAAGGCCTCACCATAGGCGAGTTCCTTAGCCTGTGCCAGCTGATTGACATCCTTAGGAGAGTTGATCTTAAGCTGCTTAACCAGAGCAGGAGCAGTGAGGTTTCCGTAGGTGGGGGTCTCAATAAGAGGGAAGATTTCGAGCTCAGCCCACTCCTTCTGGATGCCGTAGTACTCAGGCTTCTTAGCAAGATCGAGAAGAGTAGCGTAGTCATCCGGGCTGTCAGAGGGCACAGAGGTGACGACACCGGTACCCTTGGTGGCCGAGACACCTTCCATGGGAAGGATACGCACACCTTCGGTGTGGAAAGAGAGGGGAGCGTTGACAAGGGTTCCGACAAAAGCCGATCCGGGGGCCTCAACGACAAGAGGCAGCTGGTCCTGAGACTTGGGGAAGTTCTCGCTGGTGAAGAAAGTTCCCTGGAAGGCCATGTTCCAGGCAGCTCTCTTGGTGGCAACAAAGTACTCCTTCTCCTTCACCTTGTAGAGACCATAGGTGATCTTGGGGCCGAGGAAGCAGCAGGTCTGGCCATACATAGTCTCAGGGCGGAGAGTAGCAGGGACGAAGTAGACGCTCGCATCCTCTTCAATCTTACCCTTGACCAACTCAGCAATCTGAGGGGCCCATTCCTTGACCTTCAGCTTCATGGCGGTGTATTCCTGAGGTCCGATGCCCTCACCCTCGGTTCGGTCGTGGTCCATGCAAGGCTGTCCATCCTTGGGGGAGTAGATGGTGTAACGGCTACCGTACTGGATCTTTCCGAGCTCGTGGAGGCGGTTCATCTGCCAGCGGACAAAGGCGTCATAGTAGGGGTTGGCGTCAGTGGTGACGAACTGTCTGCGCCAGTCAATTCCGGCACCAATGCTGTCGAGATCGCGGATAGCGAGAGGGGGGAAGTGCTGAAGCCAGTAAGCAGCATCGGCGAACTTGTGGATCTCCTCAAGAGGAATACCAATGGCCAACATGATCTGGAACTGGTACTTCATCTTGACAGTCTTCGCGGCGGCCTTGCTCTTCTTGCCGGAGAACTTCTCGGCCTGCTCGGCCTTGACCTCCTGGGTCGGGGCGGCGACGGCAGCCTGCTCCTGCTCACTCTCCTCCTTGTAGTTCTCAAAGCTCTGGCCGAACTTCTGGACCTCATCACGGAGCTTGTCGGCGCAAGCCTTGATGGGCATACCGGTGCAGTGGAAACCCAGAGGGAAGAGAGCACGCTTACCCTCCATACGGGCCACACCAGTCATGAACTCAACCTTGCTGGCAGTAAAACTGTGACCAGCGTGCAGAGTACCGTTCATGTAGGGATAAGCCATGGTTCCGAAGAACTTGGGGTGCTTCTCGCGGAGCTCCGCGGCGGAGATGCTGCCGTAAGGCACCTCAGCGTCGGAGGGGGCATCAACCTCGAAGACCTTGTTCTCCTTCCATTGCGCCTGGTATTTCTTCTCGATAGCAATAAGGGTGTCTCTCTTCTCGGTCTGTGAGTGAAATCGAGGTTAGCACGGGTTGCATGACAAAGAGGGGCTCTTGCGGTAGGAAGAGGGGCAAGTGAGTCGCACGTTTTCCAGCTTCAGAGTGTTTTTGGTGCTGTTGCCCTGATCGAGCGCAGCTGCGGATGCAGCAGCGGCTGCCATTGCTCCAGATAGATGGTCTTCCTTTCGTAGAAATGAAGATAAAAGAAGCCCTGGGGCAAGGATGGAGAGCGGAGTCTTATAGATCGTCTCGAGTCACCGCGGGGTTCGAAAAGAATTCCTCCGTATGTGGGAAAAGGCGGTCCGTGAGTCACCGCCTGCCTCTTTCTGCTCCGAACTCGCTGTAAACCAATTGACAGTTTGAGATGGAACTGAGATTCGATAGAGAGGTGGCTTTGTCTGGCTCTTAAGTAGAATGAGTATGAGCTAGGGGTCTTATCTAGGATGGGTGGCTTATGGGTGCAATTTGTGACTCACAGGGATAATAGATTGGTGAAGGAGTGTATTGTTTTGTACACCCCAGATTGACTACTGGCTGAGCCGGGGAGGATTGGACGGATCTATGCTTAGCGTTGAGGATGGCAGGTTACATACGACCTCATTCATGTTCAAATCCAGCCTAACCCTAGTCACCCAATTCAGACCAACTATGGGAATGATCAAATCCATCTAGAATTTACTACTCTGTCGCGTGCAACGTCGAACAGCTACATCGATAGTCCTGAAGCCCGGCCGTATCGCATAGTATCACGTGATTCGATATCGGCTGCTTTTCTTTCCGCCCAAAAATCCACGCGGAAGCTTCCAACCAGCAGCGAAAGCACCTTGAACCACCGCGGACAAATTGCAACCAGTCGCTGCCGGATCTGCGCTGGAATCCATTTCTGTATCACTACAGCATAGTATACAAAGAGCGTGCGAGCCACTTCCATCACAATGGTCAACGTTTTCAAGCGGATGCGGAAGCTGAAAACTGTAAGTTAGCCATCATCCATCCCCCTTGTCGATACAACCCCGGAAGACTGACTTGGACTATTTTCACTCCTGCAGAAGGTAAGGCCTCCTTGATACAGACCCAGACACATCCCGCAAACCCCGTTGTCTCGTCGAGCCTCCATACAACAATCACCACGACTACCATCTCCATGAGACCCGACACCGACGGAGAGCAACTCTTGAACTTCACGAAGCCCCTCGAGACTGACATCTGCAAATCCCACCAGCTTCTCAACGTCCGCGTTGGAACCGGCGCCGCCGTCTTCCCCGCGGCCCCCTCGGCGACTCAGGAATTCCCCGCGATCACCCGGCTGCACCTGACCTACGCCCGCAAGATCTACGGCGGCCACCAGGGCGCGCGGCATTTCTGGCGCAACTGCCTCCCGCGGCTCAAGTACCACAACCCGGGCATCCCGATGACCGTCCGCCAGACGGAGGACCAGGACGGGCCCGCCGCCCTGAGCGTCTACTTCGCCCAGCAGACCAGCCCGATCGCCGCCTCGCTCGCCGCCGAAGACCTCAAGGATGCCCACGCCCCGGCGCCCGCCGCCCACGAGCAGGTCGCCGTCCTCGACGTCCGCAACCTCCCCTACACCGAGATCTGGAACAAGGTCAAGAACATGACCGGCGCCACGGAGATCCCCGCGACGGCTGCGGAGACGGCCGAGCTGCGCAAGCTGGACCAGATGGCCGCCAAGTCCAAGGCCGATCGGGTTCGGATAGCGGCCATGCGGCAGGCGAAGAAGGACCAGGAGCGCATGCTGCAGGAGGCCAGAGAACAGGTGGAGCGGTTGAAGCAGCTCTAAACCAGAAGTTGTTTTTTTTCCTCTCTCTTTTTGTCTCTCTTCCCTTTTGCGCTTTCGTCTCTCCACCTCCTCCTTTTGTCTTTTGTGTGTGTGTGTGTGGCTTACACCACCCATCTTTATCTTTTGTTGTCCATGGGGTGTCATAACTTTCCAGCTGCTTTCAAGATGGGGTTACAATTTTGGTTTGTGGGGTTCACGACTTGGTCATGGTCACGTGTAGCATACTAGCATTTTCCCTGTTTCATATTTCCTATACTCTTGTTCGATTATGTGGTTCGTGTCGAGAATATTACATCCCTACTAGGGGGGTTTGTACTTCTACGGTTCTTTTTGTGCTGTGTTACTTGGGTTTCGTATGATCTCTGCTGCATTCTCTATGTATAGCGAAGAAGGTATGAAAGTCTTGTTGACATATTAGATCTAGAAACAATTTACCGCAGTCATGAGTCATATAAACTGGATAATAGCCTCCAACCCGAGCATGTATCTAACTCCATTCATATGATGCATTCATAACATGCCCAGTAGAATCCACAATGCGAATAAATATACAGTCAGTAAGAAAGCAGCTGGACTTCCCTGAAAAGTGCGAATTGCTACCCATTTTGAAGGAGCAACCAAGCCCGGTCAAGAACGGGACTCTGGCAGCCCTCGTTGGCCCTTCACAGCATACTGATAATTCTTTGAGGATATCTCCAAACGAACACAAAAAAAGGAGCAGCACTGAACATGTTTTCACATCAAGCGTGGTCCGGAGTGTAGCTGGTTTCACCCAGCATCGCTTGTCCTGCTGCTACTGTTGGGGTCGGAGTCTGACTATGGGCGGCGCCTGGCTGATTCAACGTCGATGGGGGCGCTCTCGCCGCAGCCGCAGCCTGTAGCCTCTGATCCAAAGCCTTGAGAGCCAGCGCGCGTCGTCGCTCCGCCTCCTCCCGCTTGGCCATGGCTCGGCCCCCGCGCTGGTTGGAAAGAAGGCTGGGAAGACCGGCTTCGCCGCGGGCCAGGACCTGTTGATTGCCGGATGCGATAGCCTCCTCGGAGAAGGGGGTGCAGACCTTCACCGCAACCAAGAGCGCATAGACCTGATCGGAGATGAAAGCGATGGGCGGCTGGAGGAGGTCGGGAAATAGGCATGCGAATGCGAAAGTCTCGCTCGCATCACCCCTGATGCCCAGTCCGTCGGTCGAGGTGCCGGTCAGGTCGGGCTGGCGCTTGAAGAATCGCAGGTAGGTCCAGCTCGTCACGAGCCCAAGCCAGGAAAGGATCGCGGCGGCCCGGGTGCCGACGACTACACCGCTGACTGTGTTCAGGAGGAGGAAGAGGGCGGGGAAGTGCTTCACCCGCATCTTCACCAAGCCCTGGAAGATGGTGACTGTGTGTTCGGGGACGAGCTGCTTGAAGGCAACAAGGAAGGATGCCTGGATCGAGATGCCGCCGCAGATCTGAGTGACGCTGGAAGCCGGGGTGTCAGCAGGGAAAGCGCACGATGTTGTGCATTCGCGATGGGTGAAAGGGGCGTACCCGCTGCTGGCGCTGCCGCTCATCGCAGCACCCACAAGATAGATAGGGACGATGACCACATTGGGGATCACTGCGATCGTGAGGATGAACTTGGCAAACTCGCGTGAGCCCCAGGCCCGCTCCAGGTACTTCCCGCCGTAAAAGAGGGTGGCGGCGTTCAGAAGAACAGTGAAGATGTTCCGCTCCACAAATGTAGCAGTCACGAGCGTCCACGGGTAGTAGAGGAGATATGACGGAACAAGCGTCAGGTATGGTACGATGGGGGTGACGGTCGGTGTGCCCCCCGTGGTGTCAATTTGGCGCCATCGGGCAATGTTGTACAGCAAGGAGAGGGTAAGGAGACTGATGAGGCAGATTCGGGTGGCCGGAGGGATGTTCACTCGGAGAGCCATGATGAAAGAGGGACTGAGAAAAGAGCTCTTGCGGTTGCTAGACCGCAGGCTGGTTGATGGAGCCCAGCTGGGAGATGTGACGTTGTGAGAAGGGACTGAGGAAGTAGTTGAAGGATAGAGATTCAGGCCGAATCAACTCAGCTGCTGTTAAGGTAGTAGAGAACAAACACGCACCTCCCGAAGAACAGTCGGGCGGAGTCCCGAGACGAGTCCTTTTTGGGACAAGCTGCAAGGATAGTAGGATCGCATATATCTGATTGGTCACCTTACATGGCCTTACCAGAACGGGGTCTCATCCTTAAACAGCCTGGCATCCCCGGTGCTTTGACCTTTTGGACTACGGAGTATGTATCTTATGTACTGTCCTTAGTCTGTACCTAATACCTAGCCTGATCACAGATTGTGGAGTAAATACTAGAATTAGGGGAAAGAAGTTTTCAGGGTGGCCCGAGTCATTATCTAAGATGTCCCCCGTATAATGGCGAAGTTTGAATACATCATGGTGACAATGGGCTCTGTCTTTGTTCGGGCCATCCGACTTAGCAGGACCCTGATGACAATCGGACATGTGCTCCGAATTCTTCCCCTGCAGTAATCCTGATATGGTTCGTTAACAATAGGTGGGAAGCATAAGTGATATCCATGCAAAAGCTAGGCTATAGACAGGAGGTAACACAGAGCAACATTTACATTTACTAGGTATGTATTTGCACCGGCGGGGAGCGGGAGGGATTTAGCCCACAATGCATGCATGCACCAAAGATGATGTACTGTACAACGAGCGGATCGACCGGCCAGCCCAGCAAAAGGATGGACCACACCAAGATTCAGATCGACCATTCACTACAACCCCTGTGGGTGAGTATGATTTGATTGTATTTATTGTCATTGAGAGTCTCTAGGCAGTGAAGTAGTCATTGTCTACAAACCGAAGACAGATAGATGGCAAAGAGATCAAGAGCAATACTCGACTTGAGGGGTAATTCTTCCAGCAGCCAGCCTACCTAGTAGACCTTAACCATGTGTTCAGGAAATGATGCTCCATGGAAATGCAGTCGACCTGATCAGAATAAGGTAACCAACCAGAAGATAAAAAGAGAGTTGGCCCCGTTTGCACTAGTCCCAACCCGGCCCAGCGGCCAGGTCGATCCGCTGGCCGTCAATTTGATGGTATTTGATGGGACGGGTTTAGTCAACTGCACGCTACCCATGGCCTAGACGCCACAACGAGTCAAGCGCGCCCCCCCCCAATCCATCCCCCGAATTTGTCCCAAGTCAACACCGTCCGTCCGTCGAATTGTTCACTGTCACGGATTCAATCATTCTCTGGCTATTGATAAGTCATTACTGAAGTTGAGAAACTAGACTTCTGTTAAGAAGCACTGGACGAACGTACCGACAGACCGACCAGCCGACTGCCTGTTTGCTGGAGACATAACTGGAAAAAACACATCTGAAAAAGAGTGTTTTGAGGGTCGTCCATCCGAGCGTCCGGCTGAACCTCTCTCTCCCTCTCTTTACCCACATACCGTACCTGGTCCTGCTGCTGCTGCTGCGACTGCTGCTGCGACTGCCCCGAAACTAAGGGTGGTTCCTCATCCGTCCGTCTGGCCTCCCTCTAACTTAACTTCTCCATCAGTCAACTCAACTCAAATCTCCCTTTAGAGATCGCCCGCTGCCATCCTATTCCACTCCCCCAATTATTTTCGTATCTCTTCTCTATTCCTACAATTCTCCACGGACCCTCTCTCCTTTGGTTCTCTCTCTCTCTCTCTTTTGCCCCCCCCTCCTCGCCCCCCTCCTCGCCCCCCTCCGCCCCTCTCTTCTTCTTCCCAAACACTTGGTGTTGCTTCTCCGGCCTCTGCAGTTCGCTAGCGGGTCTCCCATCGTCAAGCCACACGTTGGTGTCGATTTCCTCCCGTCCCGATATTATTCGTTCTTCACATTTCCCTTTCAACCTCCATTTCGTACTGGTGCTGTCAGAGAAACTTCTCTTTCGTCCTAACAATATCGTCGGTGGGAGCTTGTAGAATGTTCCCTAGTCATTTGCACTCTTTGTGACCATCTTACTGCCTTTCTCATTTGACATTTGCGGCCTGCGTCCGGGCCCTGCATCTTTAACCTCCCCCTTCGCATACTGGTCGTCTCCCTTGTCACAGCCTTGGCTGCGTCTTTCCCGGCTCGTTCTCCCCTCTTCTCCAGCAAAGCTACCAGCTTCGAGAATTCTTAGCACGAAAGAATTTGCTCCACAGTGCTTAATCAGTCGACTTCCGGGAACTCTCACATCTTCTGAAGCTTCATCTTCCCATCTCGCGCCGTTGCTCGTCTGTCTCGTTGGAGAAGCTTTTCACTTCTGGCATGCTAGCGGACTTTACATCTTACTAGCTGTCATACATGTAACAATGGCACACCCTGATCTCACATCACATCATGTCAATTACCTAATATGGAGGTATGTATCAAATTCCTCTGGAGCCAACCTTGTTGTCTGCCCATACCCTCGTTCCTGTTTTGCCTCAGCGCACTCACTGGCTGTGGCCCTGGTGCACCTTCACTGACTCCATGATAGGTACCTCCAAGAATCAGGTAATTTCATTTTTTTTTCTTGTGGTTGACAAATGTTCAAGCATTTGTTGATTCCGTTGACGCTCGTTTATAGGACATGGTGAAGCTGCAATCACATTGCAGCGCGCGTGGAATCATGACCCGCAGAGTTTGCCATTTGCCCCATATATCAAAACCCATGCTCTTGTCTCGTTAGTACAAAAAGGCCTACAGTATTACGAACTGGAGCATTCTATTGATCGGGTATGAACACAATTCTTTCCATGTTATCCTCAAGTATCTATCTTCACCATCCAACCCTCGGTCGTCATTTGCGTGGATGTGAAAAACGAAGAGTGACGCAAAGTCTAATCTGCAACATAGGATGGAAATGCGACATCTTTTTCACCATCGACTTATTTCTTCGGACCAGCTCCCTTGGAGCCGGAGACGTCAAAGGTGCAAAATGGCCCGGAGGAGGCAGCAGTCGGCACAGACCAGGCGCCTGTCTCGCCCGCAAGCAAAGTTGCGCGCGAGGGCGGCGACGGCGGCGGCGGCGGCGGCGTGACGACCAACGGTCATTTGACGGCCGAGGCTGCCGCCCCCCAGCCCGTCCCAAATGTCAAGAAAGCTCGCAAAAGCGACCGCTCAGAAACTAACGGAGATGAGGTGCCGATGGAAGTAGATTCCAATGGGGTCACACATTCAGAGGTTAAAGCCGCAGTGGCAGCTGAAGAGTCGCCATCAACAGCCGAGATGGCCGTGGATGGGGATGGCGACGTGAGCATGGGCATCCGACCGGAATCGCAGGACCACCAGGAACCACCCGCACCACCACCGCCAACCTTTACCCTGACAACCGGCCACAGCGTTGGCGTACAGATCACCCCCGCCAAGGCGGCCGACCTGGCACCCGACACCGCCCTCCTGGAGGTGGCTGGTGATGATCACGTGACGAGAGCACTGTGGCGTCCCAATGACCCCACCGTTGTCGTCGCCGCTGGTGATACATTCTGTAGTCTATGGAGATTGTCGTCAACCGCGCCTCCTGTGCAAGAAAAGCTTGTCGAGAACAATGGAGACCGTACATGTGTCTCAGCAGTCTCCTGGGAGCCCAACGGACACAAGTTAGCCGTGGCGACATACAACGATATGAGAGGCTCGATCACGATGTATGACGTCTTTGGACACGCCGTGGACCTGCTCCCAGAGGTTCCGCGGATGATCACCGGCTTGCACTGGGTGGAAAATGGCTCGAAATTGGTTGTGGTTGCTTCCGATAGTCGAATTTCCGAGCTTGCTCTGTGGGACGATTCCGTACGTCCGGATGAATTCCCCTCCCCGCAGGTCATTGACGGGACTGTACTCGATCTGTGCTGGCTGGGATGCAGCCAAGTCTATGCTTGTGGTCCTGGCACTGTCTATCAGTGTGATGTGGATTCGAGCGTTCACATCTCAAAGACTTTCAGATCGAGCAATGCAGAGAGGCTTTGGGCTTTTATCCGTTGTGCTAGTGTTGGCCCCTCACCCGTGGCTGTTGCCGCAACCTCCGCCAATGCTGCCCTCTGGGTTCCGACTCACGATATACACCTCGACAATGCTCACGAAGGCGAGATCACTGCAATTGAAATGAAGCCAAACGGTGAACAGTCTGCGGCAACCCAAACTGTCTTCATGGCCTCGTCTTCAACGGACGATACGGTGAAAGTCTGGCGGATTGATCTGGATTCCAAGCGATTTGAATGTATACACCAACTCTCCCTCGGCCCCTCATCGCCCGCTCTGGCTGCTAGTTTCTCACCAGATGGCTACGCCCTTGCGGCTGCCAGCAAGGATAGTCTGCTCATCTGGAACGCACAAAGAGGCGGGACCGCGATGGCTGCATGGAAAGCCCCAGGACGTGAAGAGCGGAAAACAGAAGATGAACCGGGGGGCTCCGTCAACGGACCTAATGGAATTACAGAACCGGTCTTAGATCGGTCTCTGGCGTGGGATACTGATGGCAAGAAACTTGCGTTTGGATTTGGTAACCAGGTATGGTAATTTCGACCCTAAAGAATTCAGCATACTAACTATGATCAAATAGTTGGCCATCGTCAATCTGCAGCGCTGAGTTCTTCAAATCGATGACAATGTCACCATCGCTCAGGTTCTTGCGACACTATTTGGAGATTATGATCGATGACTATTCGATGCATATACTGTACGTCACTTCATTAAGCGGCGATGAAGGCAAACCGGGACTACAAGCCAGCTGCAGCATCATGGCGTTTTGCCTCAAAAACAGATCTCGTCTTTGCGCTCAAGGTTTTCGGCAGGCCCCGATGTACCATGTTATCGAAGCGCAATCCCGGAGAGCACACATCACGTCTACAGAATACACCTTTACAGCTATACTACCATAATTATAGTTCTTGCTTCGATAAATACTTGGGTTAGATCACTCTTAAACGGCGCAGGTTGGACTCAGGCAGCAAAAGCGGCGGTTGGCGACTTCACGGGTTGATTACGGTGGCTCTTGTGACTTCATTTCACTCTCTTCTTTTTACGCACTGTACCAATTGTTTTTGGTCGACTGATTGGGCGCAAGTGCGCGCCGCCTCATCTCCAATTTAGTGGGGTAACACCTCTTCAGAAACCTCTGGCATCTCGGCTCTGGGCAGCATCATCGGTGCTTGGTATCACCAATAATGTCCATTTCCTCTAAAGCAGCGATCCCTAGTCTCATCAATCCAGACTTGTTTGGGAATGGTCCCTCTGTCTTTGCATCTGCTCCCTTCTTTGTTCCCTTCTCAGGTCGCGATCCTTCTGTCGAACGTGAAAGCCCTCCTCGACGTCCTTCCAACCCCGCATCCATGCTGTGATGCCTTCAAGGAGTGCTTCTCCGTCGTCATTGAACCGTTCTTCCTTGGCACACTTCGTCCACCGCCGTTGACTCTTTCGCCGATGCTTCATCGTGGGCCCCTCCGTCACAGCTAAGAGGTGCTGCTTGTGCCAGTCGTCCACCCAGATTTCTAAGCCATTGATCGTTCCTTGCATGGCCTCCCGTTCTGCCGAGTCTTCGAGGATATCTTTCCGACTAGTATCGGCATATCAGCATGCTAATCACAGCAAGGCAACAGACAAGAGTCATGAGGCGTCACTCACAGTTCGTGTATCTCGTCGTCTAGCTCTGCCAGTCTCTGTGTCAACACCTGGCGCTCCTGGGTGAGCAAACCGTGGATTTCAAGCGACTCTCTGCGGCGCTGGCTGAACTCCATCTTCATCGTTGTAACTTCGTTGAGAAGATCGCTCAGCTGAGAGTGCGATATCTCCTGGACAGAGCCGACATGATTCGCTGTTGTCGACATTGTTATGTTGGAATTTATATGTGGATCTCGAGGAGAGTCTACTGGACTGGGCGGTCGCGAATGCGCACGGGGTCGACAACGGGCGAGTTCATGTGAGAATCCCGGACGCGGATCAAGCAGGGCCTCCATCTCCTGGAGGCAGTGATGGATTGTGGTGGAGTCTGAGATAGAAATCGAGTTACTTTCGGACAGAATTTGAGCCACTCGGATGAGACGTGCAGGCAACGAGGCTGCATCACTCATGTCGCTTTCGAGGATATGAGAAGCGTAATCGGGGTCTGTGAGAGTCTTGTCCCATGTTTGCTCCGCTACCGATGACGGCGGCGAGGGCTGTGAGTAAGACGTCTGATGCTCCATGGAGGGCTATTCCAGGGGTCTAGAGACTTTGTTGTGTTCTCGTTTTCTATGAATGGATCCTATCGTAATGCCACTTATTCCCTTCTCTCGATAATCTCTCAGAAATGCCAGGCCTATGAGCATAGAATTTGAGGGTTGGTGCAAGGGGGCGGATTCGAAGTAGCGTGCTGCAAGCCCGTGCGCACAGGAGAAAAAGGGTGAAATGTACCCTTATTTCTTTAGATTTTCTTTAGATTGACGTGCAGTGATACCCAAGAAAAGGGTTGGGCGAAGGTTTTAAGCAACAGCTCACGTCCGGCCTCAGATGATGACGATGACTACTGGAATAATGCTTCCAGCAAGAACAACAGCTAATCAGGCGGA